TAGGATAATTACTAATTACCTCTCTCTGTACCTCTTACCTTGGTCCAGATCTGGCCAATCACAACTACTATTGCTATATCCACTTTCCAAAATGAATTTTCTACCTTTTTAACATGATCAATGCATTTTCTCCAATGTTCTCCATTTACATCTGAAGCTGCCTTCAAAAACAAATTTGGCAGATCAGGTAATTTAAATGTTGTATTGTTTAGAGAAACATAACCTTTTAATAATTGTGGAGCAAACATGCAAAAGCCGATAAATCCACTTTTTACATTTTTTGGACTTTTACTAATTTTGGTGCGCTTTACCGATCTAGCGCATTAGATTCAAGCAAATCCCGATACATCGTATTAAAACAGCACCTTAATTTGTCCATTTCATGCAAATAACGATAAATCCAAATTTCAAGCAAAACCCGATAAAAAATTTTAAACTTCTGCCATCTATGCGGATTACTAAGGTAACGTGACGCCAGAAAATTACAAAATAGTTATTTCCGTTTGTCAATAAAAACTAAAAGATAAAGAGGGCACTAGTATGAATATTATTGTTTAAATTCAGAGAAACAGCTGATTTTTTCTAGAAGTGCAGTGGTATTTTAGCAGTTAACCTGTTGCTCGTTTTTAATATTGTTTTTGGAGGAGAAGCCAATGTATCTGATATTAGCATAGGAAGTAGAAAACGCAAAAAAATGAGACAAAACGGCAGATGCAAAAAAAGCAAAGGAAAAAATTTATATTAGCGTCTTTTTTTGGAATATGTTGTTTACTTTCTGTTTGTTTTTTAGATACAAAGATGACGGTCCGGATTTGATTAATTTTTAAAAGGTTTGCGATCATAAAGGACCTACATATCGGTGTGAAAATATTGCAGTAAGTGATGTACGTGCTTTACGAAGCAAAATTTTTGATAGAAAAAGGGCTACAAAGGGGACACAATGCAGAAGTCGCAATTTTTCGGTGCATTATTTTCCCAAAAGAGTGTCCAAGAAAAAAATTCAGGTATGCCAGGCTTTTTTTCTCAAATGTGTTAGTAAAAAAGACCAAATTAATCACAGAGCGCAGGTTTTATCTAAAGGGAATATTTCAAAAGAAAACCGTGGTGGAGATCACGTGTCCGCTAAATCTGTTGCAAAAAAAGTTAAAGTAAAAGAATTCATTGAAAACCTAAAAGGAAAGGAAAGTCACTATAATAGAGAAAAGTCGAAAAGGATTTATTTAGATGCTAACTCAAAACATAAAAAAATTGTTTAGAAGAATATTCGCGAGTGACTTTAATATTGGCTTTTCTAGTCCAGCCACCGATATTTGCGCAAAATGTACTAGGCTTAAATACTTAACCAAAAGTGAAGTTGATACAGAAAAGAAAAGGGGGTTACAAATCGAACTTACAATTCACAAAAAGAAGGCTAATGCTTTTTATAGGCTGCTAAAAGAGAACCCTAACAATTTAATTACTTTTTGCTTGTTATTTGGATTCATTGAATTATGACGATATCACCACAGTTCGTCTATTCTGCGACGGATGCGGAGGACAAAATAAAAATAATCATATTTTGAACACTCTATACTTCTGGCTTAGATTTAAAGCACCAATAAAAGTTACAAAATTACAAATAGTTTTTCCAATAAGGGGTTATTTTACTTCCTACCAGCCGATAGAATATTTGGTCAGGTGGAAAAACAAGCTACAATCCTTTCAAGAAAGCATTATGAAGAAACTTACGAAAAAGTTGGAGTAGTAAAAAGACTAGTCATTGACTGGAGACTTTTTGATGTAAAAACACTCCAAGTGGGTTTAAAACAGGTTAAAGGGCTATCAGAAATGAAAAGAGTAGTTTTTCAAAAATTTAACGATGGAGCGTTGATTAAAATATGCGCATTTGAAAACTTTTACTACTAGGAACAGAAAAGTTTGAAAAATTGTTGAAACCTAAGTTTTCGGATCTAGATTTAACAATAGTGGAAAAAGATACCAAACGGGGCATTCCAGAGAAGAAGAAAAAATCTCTTCAGCATTTGCTAAATCAGCAATTTGGTCTGAATTGGGAGGAGTCAGAGGATCTGCAATGGTATCGGACATTACTTCATGGAAATACATTACCCGATGAAGAGGGGGATCCCATTGTTGAACCGGAAGGTATATGCGACTGTCTTGAAGAGGAAGTGGCTGTTCATATTTAGTTTTTTTTTAAATAAAATGTTTTGTCCAAACTCTTTCTGTGTTAACTGTATGCTCTTGTTATATCATATTCACTGTTTTGCTTTGTGCTATAAATAAAATATCTATTTAATCGTGTATGTTATCTATTTCTATCATCACTATATTGATAAGGATACAAGAAAATCAAATAGATTTTTAAACACGCCTCTCTTATAAAGCCACAAAAACTTATCAAAAAAAAACTAAAAAAATAAAAACACAAAAAATACAACGACCACGAAATTTTGGGACAATCAAAGACAAACCAAAAAGAGCAAAACCCTTTAATACATTTTTAAAAATACCTAGAGGATTCCGCTGTATATGTTTTTGACCATAATATCTCAAAATCAGTAAAACTGAATTTATCGGAATTTGCGTGTTTGCTCCACAATTGTGACCTGCATTGGAATTCTCATCTTTCAATTCGGCACGTGTTGAGACGACTATCTTCGTTCCACAGAATGCGATTGGTATGTAATGTCTCTCCCTATTCAATTCGGCACGTGTTGAGACGACTATCTTCGATCCACAGAATGCGATTCGTATGTAATGTCTCTATTCAATTCGTTACGTGTTGAGTACGTACATAAGAATCCCTGTCCAGATCCGTTCAATGGGATTTAACTCTGCGTGGTAAGGACGCAATGATATTTTCAATTCCCTTTTCTCGGGCCATCTCATCCTTAATACATTTTTTTTTAATTTTGACATATAAAGTGCATCTTTTGTAATCGCAGCAAGTGTCAAAACGAACATTATGCAACTGATTACGAAAAGTTGATTATGTCATCAGTTACGAAATGAAAATAAATAAAAATGCCTTTTTTGGTTTTTAAATCAAAATTTACATTGCTTTTGAAAGGTTATATTGAAGAATGAAAGGTTGGCAATAAATAAAAATAGATTTTGTCTGGAAACTTACAATTGATAATTCTGGTTCCGTCGCTAATTTAAACAGTCTTGATCCATTCTAAATTTGCACAAAATCATCAAGATTTGAAAATTAAAACTATCAGATTACTATGTTAGGAATAGTCACGTTAGACGATTTGACATTTACCTACAATAACTATAGGAATTTATTTTCATACAAAATTCCCTAATTACAGGATAATAACATGACTTTATTGTAAAGAAACACGAAAAAACTGTCTTATATGTAATTTAACTTTAAGCCATCGTTTAGCCTAGCCCGACAACATAAGTGGTTGAAATGAAAAATCATTTTACAGGTAGTTATGCAACTAACAATGCAGGGAATAGGGTTGGACGATATTTTATGTCACAGTGATTTTGTCGCTGATATAATAATTACAGTAGTAATTCACACATACTTTGATTTTCTCTTACTATACGGAGAATGATCGCTTTCTGAGTGTCTTTAAAAGGAGATAGAAAACTCCGCCATTTTGATGCCTTATTACGTGTTGCCTCCAACTTGGCGCAATATTTTTAATATTTTGCTTGCTGCTGTCAGTGTCAGTGAATATTATTTTTTGAGTCACAGTTTATTGCTAAAGAATCAGTTAGCTCACTCGGACCAGTTGAAAGTTCCAAAATAACATCCACTCTAGGGATACAAATTCAGGATGCGCTGTTTTATTATAGGCGGTTATCATATATTGTATTATCCGAGTTGCGCAGTGTATAAACTGGAACATTGAGATCAAAAGTGCCGACGCAGAGTGAGCGAACTGATTCTTTAGCTATAAACTGTGGTGAAGGCTTCAAAATGGCCGCGCCCTATGTTGGGCGTGTCGGACCTCTCTCTTGCACCGTATAGTAATCAAAGTATGTGAGTAATTCATGACATTGAAGTCATGACAAGACAAAATGTTATGCTAGAAACAGAAAAAAATCGAGTTAAATTATAAATGCCCTTATTCCCTTATGAAAATAGATGATGCTATTCGAGGCATAATTTATGTATTATGTAAATTTTACTCTACATAATCCCCACGAAAAACCACACGACTTACGTCTCGTGGTATTTTAAGGAGGATTATGTTTCGTGAAATTTAGACCCATAATTTCTAAGAAACAACAAAATATTTTTAAAAAATTATCACTTCTTGTGGAATTACTCTTGAAAATTTGATTTGTACGAATAATTGCGCCTTCAAAACAAGCTATTAGTAGTAATGATCTTGAATAATTAGTATTATATCTTGCGTAGCGCCATCTCCTAGATAATTCTGAAAACATTTAGATTTATTCTCTTATTATTCTCTCGATGAAATCCACTTGGATGTAAAGAAAATAGGAAAAAATAATGCAAGGTAAACAATTAAAACATTTTATATTTTTTGAATAAATTGTTACAAAAAACATGTATTTTTTAACACGTTTCTTTTTGTAGTTATTTAAAATACTTTACAAAAGTTTAAATAAAAAAATATTGAAATATACAAAAGAAGTTAGTCTTTTTGGCACTTTGCTTAATTTGCCTGAATATACAGAAATTCTATTATTAAGACCAGAATAAACTTAATATAAATATTATCTAAGATACCGCATTCATACTAATATGTACATATACCATTTTTACAACTCTCGTAATGTTTCATAAGTTATGGAAACTTTGTTTCCTGTATTTAAAAGGACCAACCATACCTACAGTCAAAAATCGTTAAAATACAAATTGTAAAATATTTTTACAATATATTCTTAAAAATGCATACCGCAAAAATATAAAAATGGAGTTCATAAATAAATAATAAAATACCACAGGCACAACACTCATAAGGCACATTGAAAGTGAAAATCACTGGAACAAACTTCTAGGAGTTTTGCTAAAGTGATTCAAATCCCGAAATATCGCTTCCCTGCAACAAAAAAAAAATATATAAGTAGGTATAGTTACATAATTATACAGTATAATAGTATACAGTGCTTTTCAGATAAAAGTATCCACCTTAAGTAGAAGAAGGGCGAAAAATTTGGAATAGGTCATTAATAGTGGCGCCGCGAGACAAGACAAGACGAGACGAGAGAGTGGCCTCTCTCGTTTCGTCTCGTAGGGCGAGAGAAAACTATTCTCTCGTCTCGACGAGAAGGCGCTACTCTCGCTCGAGAGAGCCTTTCTCTCGTCTCGTTTCTCTCGTGATGAAACAATATCAAATTTAAATTTGAAAAAGACGAAACATGAAAAAACGGTAAATTTGTAAGACAAAAACAAAGAATTTTTCAAGTCATTTGCGCATTAGTACCCAAATTTGGCAATAAGAAACACTTATGTCTCTCTGTCTGTCCGTCTGTGACAGTCGTTTAACAATTGAAATTTGAAGTAATAAGTGGCCCAGATTAGGCGTTAACTAAAAACGAAAATACTTTGTCTTGTAAGTCAGTTGGGGAGGGGGGGAAGAGGTTAAATTGGAAGTTATAATTTTTCTAATACAATCCTGCGATGTCAAATGAAAGCATTTTATAGTATGTTTTCAAAATGTAAGAAAATAGAGACAAAAAAAACAACAAAAACGATGTGAAATTAGAGAAACATTATGATATTTTTGTTATAATGAGATGCACTTTACTTGAGACGTAAAATAGAGGGCGTTACTATCTTTAAATTTTCTAATAGAAAGTAAAGTCATGTAATACCTCATTTAAAAGATATTTTGATTATATTTACGTCCAAGCAAACAGTTATAATTTTTTTTTTGTTTTTACAAAAATTACATTCTTGATAATCCTCGTGTGCCGCAATAATCCTAGAAATGTTAGAAGATAATTTTTTAATAAGCTTTTCTGCCAAGAAGTGAAAAATTTAATATGTCAAGTGGTTTTTAAATCACCTTTGATATACTTACTTTATTTATTTTAGTAAATACAAGAAGCGTTTCCTTAGTAATAAACAATAATTGTTAATACGAGAGTTATCAAGAATGTAACTTATTAGTAAAGGCCCAGAACATGTCTGTATAAGAACAAAGTACCAGCTACAAAAAATTGCCATTTGTGCAGTGTTAAATCCCTCTAACAGTAAAAAATTACTTAAATTTATAAAATATACTGACATTTACTCATTATCCATTGTATACTATTGTAAAAACATCATAAAAAAAATTTCACCTACTTTATGAATTTATTTAATATAATTTCTGTAAAAACATAAAAACCTAAATCTGTTTACATGAACGTAAAAATATAGAAAATATCTTTCAAATGACGTATCACATGACCTTACTTTATACTAGAAAATTTAAAGCTAGTAATTCCCTCTATCTCCCTTATCTCAAGTAAAGTGCATCTCGTTATAACAAAAATATAATATCTCTTGAGTTTTACCTCGTTTTTGTTTTGTCGTTATCCTTTTTCATTTAGAAGTTAAAATAGAGGAGAGTACAATTTTCGTCTTCACTGTATATAATACATTCATTTGTATTACCGTTTCTTGGCCAGTTTTTCAAAAAAAGCTTAAAAATTTTAAACTTATCTTCAAAAGTAACCTCAGAAAAGCAGAATAGATTAAATAAATGAAATGAGAAATATTTTTTCTTATAAATCACTATTTATAAAATCCTAATAATACAAGTATCATTTGTTACTATTTAATAGAATAGGTGTGTTATAGTTAAGTTTTTGACTATCTCGAAATCTAATATGTTAAAATTTTAAGTTACGATAAGCAGTTGAAAATTTCAAATAAGCAAAGTGAAAATTGTTGGAGAGAGCCCGATAGAGCTCGAGAGAAATGAGAAATTCTCGTCGAGAGATGACACTCTCTCGTCTCGAATCTGTTTTCGAGAGAAAATGTATCTCTCGTCTCGTTCGAGACGAGACAATACGAGACAAGACAAGACGAGACGGAGACGGAGAGGGAGACGGAGACGGAGACGGAGACGGAGACGGAGACGGAGACGGAGACGGAGACGGAGACGGAGACGGAGACGGATACGGAGACGGAGACGGAGACGGAGACGGAGACGGAGACGGAGACGGAGACGGAGACGGAGACGGAGACGGAGACGGAGACGGAGACGGAGACGGAGACGGAGACGGAGACGGAGACGGAGACGGAGACGGAGACGGAGACGGAGACGGAGACGGAGACGGAGACGGAGACGGAGACGGAGACGGAGACGGAGACGGAGACGGAGACGGAGACGGAGACGGAGACGGAGACGGAGACGGAGACGGAGACGGAGACGGAGACGGAGACGGAGACGGAGACGGAGACGGAGACGGAGACGGAGACGGAGACGGAGACGGAGACGGAGACGGAGACGGAGACGGAGACGGAGACGGAGACGGAGACGGAGACGGAGACGGAGACGGAGACGGAGACGGAGACGGAGACGGAGACGGAGACGGAGACGGAGACGGAGACGGAGACGGAGACGGAGACGGAGACGGAGACGGAGACGGAGACGGAGACGGAGACGGAGACGGAGACGGAGACGGAGACGGAGACGGAGACGGAGACGGAGACGGAGACGGAGACGGAGACGGAGACGGAGACGGAGACGGAGACGGAGACGGAGACGGAGACGGAGACGGAGACGGAGACGGAGACGGAGACGGAGACGGAGACGGAGACGGAGACGGAGACGGAGACGGAGACGGAGACGGAGACGGAGACGGAGACGGAGACGGAGACGGAGACGGAGACGGAGACGGAGACGGAGACGGAGACGGAGACGGAGACGGAGACGGAGACGGAGACGGAGACGGAGACGGAGACGGAGACGGAGACGGAGACGGAGACGGAGACGGAGACGGAGACGGAGACGGAGACGGAGACGGAGACGGAGACGGAGACGGAGACGGAGACGGAGACGGAGACGGAGACGGAGACGGAGACGGAGACGGAGACGGAGACGGAGACGGAGACGGAGACGGAGACGGAGACGGAGACGGAGACGGAGACGGAGACGGAGACGGAGACGGAGACGGAGACGGAGACGGAGACGGAGACGGAGACGGAGACGGAGACGGAGACGGAGACGGAGACGGAGACGGAGACGGAGACGGAGACGGAGACGGAGACGGAGACGGAGACGGAGACGGAGACGGAGACGGAGACGGAGACGGAGACGGAGACGGAGACGGAGACGGAGACGGAGACGGAGACGGAGACGGAGACGGAGACGGAGACGGAGACGGAGACGGAGACGGAGACGGAGACGGAGACGGAGACGGAGACGGAGACGGAGACGGAGACGGAGACGGAGACGGAGACGGAGACGGAGACGGAGACGGAGACGGAGACGGAGACGGAGACGGAGACGGAGACGGAGACGGAGACGGAGACGGAGACGGAGACGGAGACGGAGACGGAGACGGAGACGGAGACGGAGACGGAGACGGAGACGGAGACGGAGACGGAGACGGAGACGGAGACGGAGACGGAGACGGAGACGGAGACGGAGACGGAGACGGAGACGGAGACGGAGACGGAGACGGAGACGGAGACGGAGACGGAGACGGAGACGGAGACGGAGACGGAGACGGAGACGGAGACGGAGACGGAGACGGAGACGGAGACGGAGACGGAGACGGAGACGGAGACGGAGACGGAGACGGAGACGGAGACGGAGACGGAGACGGAGACGGAGACGGAGACGGAGACGGAGACGGAGACGGAGACGGAGACGGAGACGGAGACGGAGACGGAGACGGAGACGGAGACGGAGACGGAGACGGAGACGGAGACGAGAATCTCTCGTCTCGCGGCATCACTAGTCATTAATATGGAACAGATTAAAATAAGAAAAAATAGCCAGCGCCCTCTGTTATTTCAGCATTAAAAATTCTTAGTTGTATCCCTTAAATGATAATCTCCGACGGGCAGGATATACGGTAAGTTGTCTACGGCCGCCATTATCTATTGTGTCCTGATAAAATATTTTGTTTTTATTTAAGTCGTGGTGCATTTGTGACTGGTGAACCATCATATTTTACAAACATCTTTGGGTAAGTTAGTTTTTTAAGTCAAACATTTTTAGCAATTGATAAAATTCTGGGTTATGAGGATGACTATGGAATTTTTTAAACTACAAATGGAATAGTATTCCATATTTGTGGCCACTATTCCAAATTAGTGACCTATAAAAATATTTAAATTATGATATTTTGTAGCCACAAAATAAATGCTCTATTTGTTTTTAAATTAAATAATGCTAATTCTGTTTTAGATTGGGTTATAATTATTTTGCTTTCATAAATATCGTATTATCATGTGATTTTTCTTGATATGGTGTCAAAAATAAGCCCAAAAAGAAAGTGTTATGAAAAGAGGCTATGCTACAGGCCATCCGTGCTGTCACAGAACAAAATTTGTGGTATTTACAAGATTACAAGCAGCCAGAAGATACAATGTTCCCCGAACAAGCCTCTTCAGGCATTGCCAAACGGATGAAGATCCAGCTACCTCCGCTGACACGAAACTAGTTCGACCAACAGTGCTAACCAAAGAACTAGAAGATGAACTTATAAAATTTTTATGTCATGTGGAAAGTAAATATTTTGGCTTAACAAAAAACGACATTAGAAATATGGCTTATCAACTTGCTGTCAGAAATGATCTGCCGAATTCTTTTGGCAAAGAAACAGCTGGAAAAGGGTAGTTTATGCTATTTATGAGACGTCACTCGAATAAACTGTCGTTTAGAAGAACAACAGGGACGTCTTTTGCTAGAACTAAGGGCTTTTTTAAAAAAAAATGTTCAGTAATTTTTTAAAATTTTAACAAATAAATTTGAAAAACATAACTATGCAGCAGATCGCTTTTATAACGTTGAGCAGTCTGTCTATAGTGCCATCAAAGATACCACATATTGTTGCACTTAAAGGTAAACGCCAGGTTGGTAGTCTTACTTCGGCT